ATTTGAACTATCTAACTTTTACATAAATAAATAAAACTCCTATTATCATTTAAAAAAAAATTTGATCTTCTACTCCACAATGAGTGAAATTAAGAAAAAAAGATGAAGAAGAAGAAGAAAAACTTCTTTTGAAAAGTTGTAAAACTGAATATTTAACCATAAATTTAATATTTGTATTTCAAATATCTAGTTCCCACAATTGTATTTAGTCTTAGATTTTCTCAAAAAAAAAAAAAAAAGGTTTTGAACAATGCTTTAATTAATATCACAACAAAATATTGACAGGAATATTATTAGATAATTCAACCAAGTAGCCACAATAGACAACTGACAACAAAACAAATTAATGTAGAATAGTCCGCCCTACAACATTTGATTGATTTTTCCTCTAGAATACAATGAAACCTAGCACAACTCAACTATTTAAGACTTATTCTCGACCACAAGGTCAAAAGTTTTAAACTCAAAACATAAATCTCCATCAAATCTACCTTCCCTTCCCAACCTAAACTCATCTTGAGTAATCAAAACTAGAGATGCCAGACATGATTTCCACCACAAAAACAACCTCAATTATGTACACAGAAAAACATATTCATTAGCTTACCAGAAAAGATGTTGATAATAACAACATAGGATAATGCTAAAATCAGCCACAGAATCAGGAAGGTTTCTGTGCAAGCATGGCCTTCAGAGATTCAGGGTCAGTTACAGGGGCCTTGCAAGTGAAGTTTTGGCAGACTAAACCCACCACCTTATCTGCAGCAAAGTTGTTCTTTGCCATAGCAGCAATATTGCTGTTGTTTTCTTCCCAGAATCGCATTTCCGTCTCGTCAGTAGGATCAACGTGAATAACCTGTCATGACGGAGAGATAGAGGAGGATCAATTAGACCCAGTTACAGGATAGAAAACTGGGAGGAGATTGCAGAGTGATATGTTACTCACCGTTCTGTTGGGATCATATGAAGCATGGACTGCAGCAAGCATGGTTTCAAACTGTGCCGATTTCTTATGGCCGATCAAGACGACATGTTTTCGAGATGGAACTGAAAACATGTTGGCTGCACAACACATCAATGGTACAGCCATGGCCATGTCCTTTAATCTTTTCTCAAAAACGGCCTGCATTGAAAATGGCAGCCAGTCAGTATCCAAAATGTCGACGACCAATTCAACAGAATTGTTCATAGCAAGGAGTTGACTGACCAGAAGATGCTCAGCGTTTTGTCTGTAATGATCAGACCTACTTCCAGAAACCATTGAGGACAGCCTGACAAGATTGATAGCTGAAACTGAGTTCCCAGATGGCTCGGCCCCATCATGATCTTCCTTCACTCGTAGAAGAACAGACGGGTCTTCGCCTGCAGTATTATAGTACCCTCCGCCCTCTCTATCAAGAAATAGCTCATCCTACAAAGAGATCCAAAATCAATCCTGACATAACATGAGAATTCAAAAGCCAGTTACTTAGCAAAGCAGAAAAAACAGTGCTTCTTGCCTGGGTGGCTTGAAGTTCAATTGCCCAGATTAGCCAATTCAGTCCACCACCATATTCATAGAGATCAAGCAAGCCTCCGATTAAAAACGCATAATCGTCGAGAAATCCAGGTGCTTTGGACGGTCCGTTCCTGAAACTATGTTGTAACCGATGTGTTTGTTCATTGTAAAGCTTCGTCCTAATGAAAAGAGCAGCTTTTTCTGCAACTTCAAAGTACTCTTTGACCTGATAAAGACAGTAACCAAAAAGTGTGGTCCAATAAATCAAATTACTTGTGAGTTTTGTCTCTCCTTTTCTGGGAGGTTTTATTGATTTAATGAAAAGTTAAAGGCAAAACAAGTTCCATTATGGAAATTCATGCAAATACACCATTAAGCACCAAGTCTAGTTTTTTCTAATTATCACAAAGTTATTATGTTTGGTCCAACTTGAGACTTTAATACTTCACTCAACCAACCCGATCACCATTCACATTTGAAAAAATGTATCAACACTTGCCGAATTCAAATGATAATTCATTCTAAACTTACATTTTTTACCACAAATTTTTCAACCATTTCCTAACAGACATTAGAAATTGAGGGCTCGTCTGATATCGTTCATGTTTCTTATTCCTCGTTTCTCGATTTCCCTTTTTCAATCCAGAAAAAGAGCATCGCTTATATTTATTTTTTATATTTATTATGCATTTTCTTATTTTTATTTGAACAAAGAAACAAGAAACTCAATGTTGTTGTTAAATTGGAAATGAGAAACAAGGGACGGGAACGATTAATACCGAAAGGTCCTGAATTACCTAGAGAAGAAACCATACTTCTCATGGAGTTAATAAGAAGATAAAAGGTAATCTTACATCACAGCCAACAACTGGGAAGTAGAATCTTGTCCCCTCCTTTTCATGCCTGAGAATCTTAGAGGCTCTTGCAAAAGATGATATTGTCAGCCCATTCCATGAAACAATTACCTAAGAAGTATCCGGAATTAGAAGTTTTTGTATGACTAGAAAAAGATACGAAAACACATACCGTACGGTTGGTAGTTAAATCAAGTTGATGTTTTGTAGATTACCTTATCATCAAGGTGTGGCTTTGGTCGACTCTCTCGTACTTTAAAAAGCTTTTCCCTACATTCCCCCAAAATCTCAAGATATTTTTCAACAGGTATGCCATGTTTTGATGCCATCTCAGATGTACTTGTCATCTCAATAAGAACATTCTTTCCTTTAAATTCACCATGAGGATCACTCAATCTGGAAAGGTCACAATTCCCTGAAGGCTTTATGTAGTAGTGCTCCTTGAAGAAATCTGCATGCTCACCAAGTATGTCATCAACCTAAAAGAAACAAAGAAGAATGTTAAGAATTAATAACCATTTATTGAAATAATTTGATAAGAATGCTATTGGGATAGAATTAGGAATATTATTAGGGTATTAAAGGCGTATTATTAATTAGGTCAAGGTTGAGTAAGATTACTATAGAGAGAGGAAGATCCAAGTACCTTGAATTACTCGTTACTCGTTGGGGTTATATTGTAAGTTCTTATATCATTTCGATACATCTCTAGTTTTTTGGCCTCCGAAGTACCATTTCTAAAATTCCAAAGGTAAAGATGGAAAATTTATTTGTTATGAATAATTTTATCTTTAAAATTCAAGTCAGGAAAATCAAACAAAGGTTGGAGCCTGCTTGCACGACTAATCTTAGGAGAGAACCATATAACATTATTACACGTAGGAATTAAATCTTTGGTGATGTGGGTGGCTATGGACATATTTCTACCATCCTAGTTCAGCACAGTTTGTGTAGGTAACATAAAAAGGTAAATTAACGCCAAGATAAAAAAATGGCAGAGAAGGAAATGATAAGTTTCTACAAAATTGTATCGTTATAAAACAAAATAGAAGGTATCTTCCTCCCCTTCACAAACAATAAACATACAAAACACAATGAAGTTCAGAAAAGTGCAAACAAAGACAATGCAAACCTCTTTACTTGTCCACACATAGAAGGCCCCTTCCTTATTTCTTATAGCTCCTTCAGATTCAGCACTGTCAGCGTCCTCTGCAGAAAATATTTCGCCTTCGGGTCCAATCATGTCTCTCCTCAGATAATCAAGAATATCTCGAGATATACATGAATACAAGACATCCTTGGTTATGGAAAAAGCATCTAGATAGACATTTGTAATCTGTCCTTGATCGTAAAGCATCTTCTCGAAGTGGGGAACTGCCCAAAGAAAAAAAGGAACTAGTCATTTAGGCCCGTTTGAATTATTAGATTTGTGAGAACATTTTCAAAAGGGTAGAGAACAAAGCTAGGTAGAAGTAGTGTTTATAGGTTTAATTATCAGAATGATTATCAACTAAATCCTTGGAGATCAACTTAATTTACGTTTAGACTTCTTGCCCAAATTAATTCTCCAAAAAAAAAAAAAAATCTCACATGAGCAGAGAGACCTAACAAAAGGATATGAACACTGTATGATAAGGCAACTCGACATTTGCTTCACATGCTTCAATTCAATTTCATGATTTGATGAAAAAAATTAAAACCCCTCTTTGTATCTACTAAAAATGAAAAGTCAACTAATGCATACCACTTAATTGGTTCATTTAATTGAGTACAAGGATAAAAAACCCATTCTTCCCTAAATTTTAATCATCTAATTTTTTAAAATGGTGGTTGAATTTGGATTCAATCTTTATGTAACCCTTTTTGCCCCCTAGCATAATCATATAACCCAACAACCAAAACATAGAAAAAGAGAAATCACATCAATAAACAGCAAAAATGCAAGATTTTCCTATATAATAAAGTTAAGACACCCTGCTCCATCGAGCGGCCCCATTGGCAAAGACTTGAGATCTCTTGGTCATACTAACTTAGAGGTCTTAAGTTCAAACCTTTGCGTGAGCTTAATACCAAAAATCTTGATCTCTCCAAGGCTGGGCCTTGGGGCAGGCGTGGGAGCCCGATAGGGAGTAAAGCTATGACTCCCACTTATCCAAAAAAAAAAAAATAATAATAATAAAGTTAAGACATCCTGCTAGTTAAGGACAAGCACAAAATATAGTGGAGAAATGAACACAAGAACCAAATACTGACCATGCCAGCACTCATCCACACTATATCTGTGAAATCCACCTCCAACGTGGTCGTGAATACCACCTCTTGCCATACACTTCAAACCAAAACTGACCATATTCAGGTGTTCCTCTGAATCACCAGACTTCCCAGATTCCTCCAATTTTTTGATATAATAAAGCATAAGTTGAACCTCGACCGGTCTCGGAAATTTTGGAGCAGAACCAAACCCGCCAAAATTTGGATCATAGCTTTGAGAAAGCTACAATAAACATCAAATAAGTTTAGAAGGGAAATACATAATGAAGAATAGAGTGTAAAACAAGAGACATAATGATCTGTTATTGTTTCATTAACATCTTTATATTTCATATTCAGAACACACGTGGAACGTGGCCACCTTCCTTCTAGAACTTTGAAAATTAGCACATAGATATAAAACAAACAAAGACCAAATTCCGATGAAAATAAGAGCGTTACTTGTTCTGCACATAAACGTAGTGCATTTTGGGGAAGTTCCGTTGACAGTTTGTTAGAACTTGCAGTAGCAGACAAGGCCTCAGAAAGCTGTTCAATGGCAAAAGTTCCACTCTTGACAAGAACATCCCTTTTATCATCCCAAGCATCCTTCACTTTTCTGAAAACACAAAAATTACTAAGGCCACTTGGAGAAGAAATAAGACTGAAACATTAACGCCTAAAGATTGCAAATATGAAACTAGGATGCAACTGACTAGCAAACCTTTTAGAAGAATCCATAACATTTCTGAGCAAATATGATCAAGAAACCAGATGTCTAATGACTTCGTTACCTAAGCACTGTCTTAAATCCAGGTCGTCCGTATTTATCATCGGGAGGAAAGTAAGTCCCACCCATCAAAGGTTTCAAATCAGGAGAAAGAAAGACGCTGAGCGGCCAACCCCCACCACTATAAAGAGCCTGAACATATGTCATGTAAACCTGAAATGGAACATATCTATTTAGCTTATAAAATCAAAGAACAACTATTTCCTTTAATATAAAATCAAAAAACTACCATCATCAAATATAGTTCATTATTACAACATCTCTATGTCTAGTAAAAGCAACTTTAGATATCTCAAATGCAAGTCCATCCTCTAGGATAGCACATACATCTTACACACTCAAGAATTTAAAATTATCCTGCCAACTTTTTTTTTAGATAAGAAACATTTTATAGACAGAAGGCACAGAGCCACAAAAAAAACAGCCTAAGGGCAGGGGGAAGAGGGCTCCCCCTCCCACGAACTAATGAAGAAAAGCTCTCCAATCTTGCAAAATCGACGAGAGGCTGTAATTACGAAAGAGTTTTCTATGCCTATAACACCACCAAGAAGTGTGTAACTGAACTGTATTACAAAAGTTTTCAAAAGAAGAAGACTTGTCCTCAAAAATTCTATTGTTTCTTTCCATCCAAAGATTCCAAAAGAGGGCTCTAGCGGCACAATTCCACAAAATTTTAGCTTTTCCTTTGAACTGCCAACCCTGCAGAGCTTCATTCATCCACCCTTCAACATTCTGAGGCATACAACTGGAGTATCCAAAGATTTGAAGAAGAAAAGACCACCCTCGACGAGCAAACTGACAGTGAAGGAATGTGTGATCTATGGATTCCTCGTTCTGTTTGCAAAGAACACAAACAGAAGGGGAAATAGCCCAATTTGGACAT